ATGATGATGATGAATGGTGGTGATCATGATGGCGATGATTATGATCATGATGATGATGGTAGTGATTATGATGGTGATGACGATAATGATGATGAAGATAATAATACATGATCCATTTTTATTACGTATCGTACCACCTTAAGCGTAGAGATTAAAAATCGCTCTTGTTTATTTATTTTTTCTACCAGAAGAGAACATCGACCCTGCTTCTCATTGGCTGGGCTCCATAGCTCGCGGAACGATTCATACCTACGTCGAGAACATCTTACGAATTCACGAACTCACTCCTTACTCTACGAAACAGTTGCTCGCTGATATAGGTAAGAAAGACTCACATATCTCAAGGTGTTTCTATGATTTAGTACTGTTAGGTGTTTGTTACTGCAACCATGTTGATGGACAAAACAAAAAATATTCCTCAACTGAAATAAATCTTGTCTTGCAAGATGTGCAGCGTTCCTGTCATACAACATGGTTGACTTATGACCCCGTATTACTTGAGTGTTGCAATTCAAATCTCTTGTTATAAGGCAGCAATTGTGAAGCGCTTTTCCTTGGCCTAGTATTACCAGATGATTTACTTAACGTCTGTTTTATTTTGTAGAATATTTTTGTAATGTGTTGGAAGCTCTTGAAGTGGAGCCCAGTGACTCACTCAAACATATCATGATGCTTTTGAAGGCCAGCCCTGAAGAGTAAGTACACGATACACGATACATGATAATGATGATGACGATGATGATGGTGATGATGATGGTGATGATGATGGTGGTAATAGTGATGGTGATGCATAATGATGTGGTTGATGATGATGATGGTGACGATGATGGTGATAGTGATGATGATGATGATGATGATGGTGATGATGATTATGGTGATGCATGATGATGATGATGATGGTCATGGTGGTAATGGTGGTGATGGTGATTATGGTGAAGCATGATGATGATGATGATGGTGGTAATGATGGTGATGGTGATGATGATGGTGATTCATGATGATGATTGTGATGCATGATGATGGTGATGCATGAAGATGATTGTGATGCATGATGATGGTGGTGATGATGATGGTAATAATGATGATGATAATAATGATGACAACCTATTTAAATGTGCAGCTACAGATTCTTGTGTTAACTCAGATTTGCCCCCTTCAGATTTCACGAAGTCGTGGTAGAAAACAATATTGATGACAGAATACAGATGGTCATCGCAGGAACCAGAATGATACACTAACGCACATGCAAGCACTGTGTCAATAACAATAAAATTCCATCAGCAACTTCTTAAATACTTAGCTCAGCTGAACGCTAGTAAATGTTTTTTGCGACCGAGATTAAACACGACACAAGAGAACACAAATCAGTATCTAGAAGGGGTATTGTAGCCCCAGTATTATATAAACAGAAAATATAAAAACTGATATAGAATACTGAGAAATCAAGACGCAGTCAGATGTTTCCAGGAAGTATTTGAAACCAGGAAAGCACAGTGGATCGAGTTCTCAAATAATAATTTGTAAGGAAAAATAAAATAACGATGTTGAGGCCTGATTAAGAGGTTGAATGGACAAAAAAAAAAAATTGAAAAAAAGTTAAATCAGCATGAAGCGGGATTTGATTTTAAGAGTTTGAATGGAGAAAACAAAATGTTATATCAGCATGAGGCGGGATTTCAAACAAGTCAACCAACAGAAATTAAAAACAAAAAACAAAAAAAAAACGACTCCACTTTGCCATACCCCCGAGACATCCGCAGAGCTGGGGCGTCGTATGGACTTCGGACCTGACGGCGATTAAATCCTTCTGCCCTTGGGTGTACGAATTACGCAAGAAAATGTTCTAGTCGAAGCATCAGGGGAGAGACCAGCCGGCCCCCAGACCATATCGGCTAATCCCTTGCATCTCTGCCACGCACGGAATCAGTTGAAAATCTCATGTTAAAAAGTCTAGTCTATCCGGTGCATTGTTTTCGCGGATATTGTTATGCTAATGTTTTGGAACCGTGGTCCAGTGGACAAAACGTGGAAATTCAAAATACTGGGCCCAGCCCGGATTAGGAGGGTTAGTACCTGGATGGGTGACCTAAACATTATACCTACTCAAGCTTTTCTTTCTTTTTTCTCTTAGTTCAACAAATATTTTTTTTCGAACATCGTACCTCACGAGTTGAGTCAAGTACCGATTTTTTCAAGCTTGAGTTTTTAAGTATTTTCAATTATTTTGATCATATTTGAGAAAATGGAGTGGCATTTTTCATCTTGGTTTTGATTCTTGAAAAAGAGTGAAATTTTTGCGAGTTTACTTTTTGATGTAATCTTTGCTTTGAGTTGACCATAGGATGAAACAAAAGCTTTACTTTTAGTCAAAGCGGTATGAAAACTTTAAGCTATACCTTAAACCCCATTCAGAAATATGAAGACTAGAAGCATCATTTGAGACACGTACAGGAACGGCCCTTCCACAGTTCTCACTTCATAGTTCTCTTTCATTCTCGTTCCCGCCGGTTGGCAATAGCGCAGACTCTGGAAACGAGAATGAATGTACCTCAATTTTAGTTTTGTTTCTCTGCATCTTTTATATCCATACTGCATTTAATAGATAACTTATAATCTTATTCTGTTGCGAGAACTCTCACCCCCAAAGGATCCACCATTTTGCCGGCTCCCCACTTCCGGTTATAAAGTTGGCATACTAGTAAAAATAACTCACTCCCGAAACGCATTGGGCGTTTTGTATAAAGGCACCTCTATTTATGGCTTGAATTTTCTTTACAACAAGAGAAGGCTTTAAATGCGGCAATTAACTTACGCTTTTCGCTTTTTTTTTTTTTTTTTTTTTTTTTTTCATTTTTTTTTTTTTTTTTTTTTTTTTTTGACACATATGCTTATACTTTTTCTCATAACTTAATTTTTCTTTAGTTTGAAAGCATTTTTTAACNACGAGAATGAATGTACCTCAATTTTAGTTTTGTTTCTCTGCATCTTTTATATCCATACTGCATTTAATAGATAACTTATAATCTTATTCTGTTGCGAGAACTCTCACCCCCAAAGGATCCACCATTTTGCCGGCTCCCCACTTCCGGTTATAAAGTTGGCATACTAGTAAAAATAACTCACTCCCGAAACGCATTGGGCGTTTTGTATAAAGGCACCTCTATTTATGGCTTGAATTTTCTTTACAACAAGAGAAGGCTTTAAATGCGGCAATTAACTTACGCTTTTCGCTTTTTTTTTTTTTTTTTTTTTTTTTTTCATTTTTTTTTTTTTTTTTTTTTTTTTTTGACACATATGCTTATACTTTTTCTCATAACTTAATTTTTCTTTAGTTTGAAAGCATTTTTTAACTTGGGTCCGCAGTAATTGGCTAACGCTGTTGCGAAATTAATCCCTGCCATACTTATAAATGCTAACGTATATTAATTAACTCGTTATGATTTTTAGTATGGCGAAGTTACAATAAATAAAACAATATATAAAAGATATAAAATATGTATTGTAACTCAAAAAGGTCACCGTAGTGACCTTGTAGGAGGGACACAAGGCCAGGCTACCTAACACATCCGCCATTTTGATTCCAATGTGTTTTTTCCTGGTTCGATTGACGTTTTTTATCTTCAGAAAATGTCTCTAAAAAACGTAGTAGGAAGCCGTAAGTATTAAAACAGATACATTTGGCATTATTTGTAATCTTATGGCTTATATTTTTTAATGTTCGTCTTTTTTTTCAGGCATTTTGAATAAATTGTTGAAACCGCTCCACAATCCAGGCGAATGGAGGGTTCGTTCTAGGAATTAAATTTTCCTTGTTATTATTTTTTTCTTTCTTTGAGTGTTATTATTTATTCCTTAGCTATAGTTAGCTTTAATATTAGCTGTGTTATTGATCTACAGGCTCTTATTCTCGATAAACTCAGCACTAGGATGATTTCTGCGTGTATAAAGATGCATGATATTATTGATTCTGGTATCACAAGTAAGCTCTCTTTCTGTCTTTTATTTTCGTTATTGCTCGCCCAGTCATCATTGATTGTCAAATCAATACTTACTTATGATAGATATGTATATAATATAATATATAACATATAACAGATAGATCGCAAATTTAGACTAAACCCAAATGACATAAAGTCACTTATTTTCCCATGGGGGAGTCGAGGTACATGTACGATTCAATAATAATAATAAACTTTCTAACAAATACATTGGATATCTTTTTTTAGTCGTAGAAAACCTCCACAAATCAAGAGAACCTCTACCAAAAATAGAAGCAATCTATATCCTTACCCCTGAAGAAGAGGTTAGGAAATTAAATGCCTGTTTAACTAGTTAGTCAAGAACATTGCAGCAAGCAAGAGGTCCATAGATTAATCCTCAGTGACCTCACACACTTGTTTTAAGGAGCAAGTGTGACTTGATTGATCCTCAATGACCTCACATACTCGTTTTGGGGAGCAAGTGTGGCTTTGTTGGTTAGTGTGCTGCTTGCTAAGCAAGAGGTCCGTATTTTTAACCTAAGTGTCCTTACACACTTGTTAATATACACATTTGATGTTACAGTCAATCAAAATTATTGTGGATGACTTCAAAAGCTTCCCAGTCAAGTACAAGGCAGCCCATATATTTTTCACAGAAGGTACAGCATTTATAATAGCATTCATTTCCTGGGAAATCAGTATCCCATCATCTGAAAACATAAGTATCATCACCATGATAAAAGTGTCTTGTATTTCTTTATAATTTACAGTTTGTCCTGATCAATTATTGATGGAATTACAGAAAATAAAGAAGTGTAAGTATCGATAACAACAGCAATAACAACAACAGCAGCAGCAACAACAGCTGCCACAACGACACCATGAACAGTAATGACAACAACAATGAGCAACAGCAGCAACAACAAAAACAACAGTAATAAAACCAGCAGCACTAACTACAGCAACAACATCAACAGCAACGATACATGTAGCAATGACAGCAGCAGTTAAGCAAAAATAATATTCTAATTCCTTGCTGTGGACAAACATTAATAATTATTGCATGCTGTAACTTCTTTATTTATCTTTTTTTTTTTGGAGTAGGGATGTGGAGTCTCTCATGATTCAAGTGCCCAACTTGGGGGAGGGCTTTATTTTAAAAATCAAACAGTATTTTTGGTCAAGCTATTTATTACATGTATGCTTCCTTATCTTTTGATACTCGTAGATATCAGATCACTGAAAGAAATCAACATTGCATTTCTTCCATATGAAGCACAGGTGAATGATGATGATGATAATTTAATGTTGGTGACAACATGATGGTGGTGATGATGATGATGGTACTGATAATGATAATGATGAGAAATGATGATGATGGTGATGGTGGTACTGATAATGATGGTGGTGGTGGTGGTGGTGGTGGTGGTGGTGGTGATGATGATGATGGTGATGATAATGATGATGGTGATGATGATAATGATGATGATGGTGGTGGTGATGGTGATGATGATTGTGGTGATGGTGATGATGGTGGTGGTGATGGTGATGATGGTGGTGGTGATGGTGATGGTGGTGGTGATAATGATGATGGTACCAATGATGATGATTATTGTAATGATTGTATTGTATTATTTTATTACATATATTTCATGTGACAGTTGTTGTTTTCTTCAGGCTTATACTCTTGACAGTGCAATAGCATTTGAGAAATTCTATAACCCAAGTGTAGAGAATTCAGACAGAATTAAACACATGGAGGTGAGCCTGTCATTCAAAACACTCTCTGTCTGTTATCCTCCTTGCAGTATTACCAACACTGTTGCTCACTTGTTGTACAAACTCAATGTAATTAAAATTTTTCTCCATAAGAAGATTGTAAGCTCATCTGAGGGGGAGGGGTCATCTGGGCGGGGGGGGGGGAGGGGGTTTGAAGGCTTTTTTTGCACCCTTTCCCTAGTTCTGCAAATTGAACTACTGAGAACGTGTTGTAAGGAATCTATTCATGTATGTAAACTTATTTTGGTAATTTCATTGTGTATTTTTAGAAATTGGCTGAACAGCTTGCTACGTTGTGTGCATGTCTGGGAGAATACCCATCGATCAGATTCAGGTGGTAAGTGAATGTGGGATTCCTGTGGTATCAAATATTCTCCCAAAGTGATTCAAAGTGAAAGATTGATTAATGGTAGCACATATATTCTTCTTCTTCCTCACCAGCGAGTCCCCCAAGCTTACCGAATTTGCTCACATTGTTCAGAATAAACTGGATGCTTATAAAGCTAATGATCCAACAATGGGAGAGGTAAGGATGCCAGTAACTGTTGTAATGATTCAAGATGAGGGTGTTTTAGCCTGCGTAACAGCAGCAAATAAAGTGGATGATATAGCAGGCATCCCAGACCTCCTATATATCCTATATTTCCTATAATTTGTATAGGATCCTATAAAGAGCCTATATTTACAGAAAACCTCCTATATTTCCTATAAATAGGATGACTGCTGATTGATACATTTATATTTTACACTGTTTAGCATATTTGGTGAAGGAAATAAAATGGCCCCCCTGGTTCTGTTTTTTTTATGGCTTTTTAGTTCTGCAAATCATTGCCTGTGCACCCTCCCGATTCCTGGTTACGCCTCCGAAAAGCTATCTTAACTCCTATAAAGTGCATATATTTTTGGGAAAAAATCCTATATTTTCCTATATTTAGAACTTGCACAGCCTATATTTCCTATAAAATCTGTCTAAAAAGTGGCCGGGATGCCTGATATACTGTAGGTTTTTCAAAAATTCAAAAATTTGAAAGTCTCCTATAACACTAGGTTTTCTTTTGACAACAAAAGCTTGAATATTATACAATTTATCATACAATTTTATATCACTGATCAGTTTTTCTGTTCTTTTTTCAGGGCAGTAACCACAAACACAGATCCCAGTTGCTTCTTCTTGACAGGTAGAAGCAGGGTTCGTGCTACTCCTTAAACTCCTTGAAACTCCTTGAATTTAATTCACGTTTTCAAGGGCACTTGAAAAGCTCTTGAATTTTACGATTTTAGCAAAACTGCTTGAAAACTCCTTGAATTTTTGCTTTGATCATTACTTGCATGGTTCTGAAAAAGATCGAGTCAGAAAGATTGGAAAATCTGAAAGTCGGCCATGTGCAACCACCGTGTAAAACCTTGGCATAGTTAGCAACATACTCCTTGAAAAAAATATTTTTGGGTCCTTGTATACATCTTGAATAGTCCTTGAATTTTAAGTGGTTACCTCAGCATGAACCCTGTAGAGGCCAATCATTCAAATTTAAGACCCCAGAGATGCAAGGCAAGTGCATTGCTATACCCTCCCTTGATTCAAGACCCTGATACGATAACTTTTATTGTTGCAGAGCTTTTGATCCAGCATCACCTCTTCTTCACGAGCTGACCTTCCAGGTTTGTAGATGTGGTGTGCTCAATAGAGGTTGTGCACCATCACACGACGGCAGCCATGTTAGATGGCAGGAATAGTACAATCATTTTGCATAAGAAAGAATTCATTTCCCAAGGGAAGTCATTGTTCTGCCACAGGCAGCCCAAGCTGTATTATGAGCACCAGCACGTGATGGTGAAAAACCTCTATACTTAAATAATGATGGCAGCCAATCAATTCAGTGTTTACCAGCGATAAAAAATACATGAATTCTCTACAATTGAATACTTTTGATCAGGCTTTTTAATTTTCCGTAGAGTACAAACACTACAAACCTGTAATATAAATTGTGCTATTAATGCTTAATTGTGATGTTGCTATGGCTTTTATTGTTTGATTAGTGCTATTTAGTACTAACTATTGCAAAATGTTGCACGCTTTTAGTGTTTAAATACTCTAATAATTCTTTTAATCATTCAATTTTAGGCGATGGCATATGATCTACTTAGCATTAATAATGATGTTTACAAGTAAGTACATCTCTTGAAATCTGGTTAGATAATAGTAGTACTCAGTTATAGCATTGATGCCATTTTATAATGCAGGCTAGAAAAGTGATAACTTATTAGCATGAACCTATTACTAACTTTTTTTTAGATTTGTCACCAAATCAGGAGATTCCGACTTCAAGGAAGCTTTACTTGATGGTAAGGGCAGAAAATTTGTTCTCATTCCTTTTAAAATCTATAATGCTTTGGCTGTTATATCACAATGTGGAGACAGAGCTACAGTAGCTTCAAGACTAGGAGAAAGCCCAAAGATCAAATTGGAATTTAAAAGTTGATTTCAACAAGCAACTCTACTTCACATATGATGGCCCATCCAGGGATCAAATCCTTGACCACAGCATTTGATGCAATGCATTAGCAGTGCACTCCACCCCTGTGGCTTAGTCCAAATATGAGGGAATCATGTTGTTTGTGGGCAGGTTAAAAAAATTTCCTGGCTTGAACCACAAAGTAGTGAGACTGTGCTGTGGCAGCAATATTAGTCATGCCATCCATTTATTCTTATTTTGTTTAATATTTTCAGACACAGATGAGATGTGGAACAAGCTTCGACACCTTCATATTGCTGATGTATCAAAGTAAGAACACAGTCACATTATTTTGATGTCCTTTTAGCTTTAATTAAAATGGATCCTGATTTTGAGCAGCATGATTGGATGAAGATAATTTTCTTACTTAAACATTTGTTAAGCAAAAATCGCATTAACACGAGCGTACTGTAAACAAGAGCACCAGGAACGAAGCATTAACTATAGCTATATAAAAACATAAGCAGAGACATATTTAAGCAAAGACAGGAGAGGAAATCTTTCTGAATATGAAGCAGGCATTCACAAGGCAGGACAGGGAAGATCCTGTATAATATGTATAACCATGTTAGCGATGTTGTACAATTCAGTGGTTGCTGGGAGAGAATTAATTTTTGTTTCTTTGCAGGAAAATATCTGACGAAATCAAAGAATTTGCTTCAGAAAAAAGGATGTCTACAAAAGAAAAGGTACATAAACCTTGGAGCAAGATGAGGAATCATGTCATATCGTACTCTTTTCAATATTCTGCAAACTCGGCAGTTACTATAGCTGAGTGTGCTAAAATGTGTTTTTTCACTGCTGTCCTGCTGTCAATCAAAAATAATCAGTTGGTACCTTTTATATTCTTGACTGGCAGCAGTAATAAACCACCTTATATATATTCTGTCTATTCATTTTTCAGCAGAGCACACTAAAAGACCTACAAGTGATGCTCAAGAAAATGCCTCAGTACCAACAGGAACTGAGCAAGGTAATGGTGTGAGAATAATACCTGGAGTTTGGAAGCTGTTTGAGATACCTCTTATAAAATCTACATGTACACCTATGTCAAAACATAGTTAGGAAATTCCTGTTGGAAGATTAAATTATTGAGTGTGTTACAGCGAAAGTAAGGGAACTTTGATTGTAATTGAACCCAAAGCCTTCTGTAATTCTAGTCAAATGCTCTACCACTGAGCTACAGAAGACTCTTGGTGAGCTAATTGCTATTCTTATAATTATTCTTTTTTGTCGATCCTTCAGTATATTCTTCACTTCCATCTGGCTGAAGACTGCATGAAGCATTACAAAGAGACAGCTGACAAGTTGTGTGGTGTGGAACAGGTCAGACTCTTGAATAATTTTTGTTTGTCATACGTTTATCAATTAATTAGTTATTATCTTCAGCATTGAAATCAAAACAACCATGATCATCATCATCATTAGGATCATCATCATCATCATCATCATTATCATCATCGTCACTACAACTACCACCATCATCACCATCATCGTCATCCCCACCACCATCATCATCATCATCATCATCATCGTCGTCATCTCCACCACCATCATCATCATCATCACCATCATTGTCATCACCACCACCATCATCATCACCATCATCATCATCATCGCCGTCATGGTAATCATCAGCATTATCATCAGCATCATCATAACTACCATCTTTGCTACCAACACCATCATTATCATAAATCTACACATATAATTCCATCAGATTCTCAAACTTTATTATTTTCTCATTCATCTATTTCCACTCTAGGATCTGACAACAGGTGTAGACAAACATGGTGAGAAAATCAAAGACCCCATGAGAAACATCGTACCACTCCTTCTGGACAAGACAGTCAGGTACCATAAACTTCCTACAGCTTGCTCTGACGTTGCACTGTTTTACCTACACATTAATATTAACAGTGATTAGTTGATGTTTCGATACAATCTATTTTCTAGCATTCATGACAAGATCAGGATCATTCTTCTGTACATACTGTTCATGAATGGTAAGTTGTTATTGTCACTGGCTGCAGTTTCCTGTCTTAGCGGGGTGTCACGGAAGACCTGTTGTGCTGCAATACAAAAGAAATTTCTTTTTTTGTGAATGAATTTTTTGTTTAATCTAAATACTGCATTATTCCTGCCCTCCAACATGGCTGCTTTCAAACCATTTGATTAAAGCTGCCGCTGCCGTTGTTGCTGGTGCTGTTGCTGTCGTTGTTGTTTATTGTTGTTGCTGCTGTTGTTGCTGTTGTTGGTGATGTTGCTGTTGCTGATGATGTTGCTGGTGCTGGTGCTGGTGCTGGTGCTGTCGTTGTTGTTTATTGTTTATTGTTGTTGCTGCTGTTGCTGTTTCTGCTGTTGATGATGTTGCTGTTGTTGTTCCTACAGTTGCTGCTGCTGCTGCCATTGTTGTTAATATTGTCTTTATCATTGTCATTAATATGGTTGGTATTAGAAGCTTGAGTCATATATTGGCTTTTTTTTCTCTTCAGGACTTTCCGAAGAAAATTTGACCAAACTTTGCCAACATGCTCAGATTCCAACAGCAGACAGGTAAATCTAAATCTAAATATCTAGCCCATGCAGCCTTGATCTGAGGGAGTTTGGAGAATCGACCGTAGGTAAGGGAGATCAAGGGGAGGGTACTGAGACTATTTGTTTCCCATCCCTACCCCCCAGGGTGAGCTACAGAGAATAAAGAATGGTTAATAGTTTTTAGACAGGGTTGAAAAAACCTCTCGTTTTCATTATTACTTTTTCAGGGCCATCATCATGAACATGGCGAATCTTGGAGTTCCTATTACAAAAGACGTGAGTAAAATGGACTTTGTGATGCAGCGGCCTTTGTGGTTCAATTTATTCTTCATGTCTATCTTTCCTTTCCCATTCTTTTTAATCCTCTCCCATTCATTCCCATATATCCTTTTTCTTCCCTTTTCAAGAGTTAAGTATACAAACGTTTACCATTCAACATAGCATTTTTGTCGTACACATCTTATTTTAACGTCCAGCGGGCGAATAGATAGTGCCGGATTCTGTTGTGAGTCTAACACTTTCTTCATTAATTTTTGGCCCAGGCTGGTAACAAGAGACCCAAGCCCAATCGTAAAGAACGAGATGAAACAGTCTATCAGCTGTCACGATGGGTGCCTTACGTTAAAGACATCATGGAGGTAGGTATTAAATTAGACTCTTCCACAGTCTCTCGCTCGTCCGTTCCGTCTCCACGCTTAGAGACTGTAACGGTACAATGACCGAAAGGACTTATGGATCCTGAAAACTTGGACCCAGCGTGCTTTGGGAACCAAAATACTCGTCCACAGTCTCTCTCGTTTCAATATTTTCAAGATGGCGGCGAAAACGAGAGAGACTGTGGACGAGTATTTTGGTTCCCAAAGCACGCTGGGTCCAAGTTTTCGTGACCCATAAGTCCTTTCGGTCATTGTACCGTTACAGTCTCTAAGCGTGGAGACGGAACGGACGAGCGAGAGACTGTGGAAGAGTCTAGGTAGGTATGGGATCAGGGTAGGACCCAAGGTGTATAGGGTTACTCACGCCAATACCTACCACAGGAAACCCATGAAACTGAGACAATGGTAACAAAATGGCGTCTCTTGACAGAAATTAGATAGAAAAGCTTCAAGTAAACCCAGTGAAAGTTTTTCTGGTTATAAACATATTTAATCACCCCCTTCACTATCCCTTGATCCGCCCCTAGGCACATCAGTACTGCACTAGTCTCTCACCTGTGGGGGTCTGGGCTCGATTAGGTTTCTCCCTTCAAGTGGTTTCCCTCGGGTTTAGACCACAGGGTGACCAGTTCATAAGATTATGAAGGACACAGGGTGTTCAAATCAAATCATATTTTGTTGTTCAGGATGCCGTTGAAGAGAAGCTTAGTGCATCAACGTTTCCTTTCCTGAACCAAAGGTCTGGGGTAGGATTCTCATCTGCTGGTGAGTTGGGTTTATATTATCTTCACCATCATCATCATCACCATCATCATCATCATCATCATCATCATCACCACCACCATCACTCCATCGTCATCGTCGATCGGCAACAGCATCACTGCCCATTATTATTGTCATCACCATCAATCCATACCATCATCATCACCATCACTCTATCGTCATCATCATCATCATCATCACTCCATCGTCATCGTCATCATCAACAGCATCACTGTCCATTATTATCGTCATCACCATCATCATTATTGTAATTAATATTCATACATTTTTATCTTATTTTTTCAGCTGCAGGGCAGGCCGTCAGGTAAGTTCATAAACCGTTCATTTTCTCATCCTACCAATAATTGACTCATTCCTTATTCTTTGATATGTTATTTCTTCACTAGCGCACGTTATGGTAATTGGTATAAACACGATAAGGTAAGATATGATGTCTAATTAGCCACACCTTGTGTTTTTAATGGTTCAGTTCAGTTTTTGTTCTTTTTAGGCATCCAGTGAGGCACGTGATGTGCCACGCCTTATCGTCTTCATCATGGGTGGAGTCTGCTATTCTGAGCTAAGAGCAGCTTATGAGGTAATGTATCTCATTCTGACTAACATGGCTAGCTTCACAAATCCAGGGGGGATATCTCTGTTCTCATATTCTTGTATCGCTCTGCATTGCAGGTTACAGCAGCTAACAAGAATTGGGAGGTCCTCATCGGTAAGACGACGTTTATTACCAAGAAAGACTCTTTTTACTTAGACAGAAGTTTTAGGCCTCGTGTCTTTTTCTTGAATATTATTTCTTATCGGAAACTGTTGTCGAGATTCGTTGGTATAGATGTGATAGACCCTTTAGTTGTCAGACGACTTTTATTACCAAGAAAGATCGTCTTTACTTAGACGAAAACGTTAGGGCTGTGTCATTTTCTTGAATGTTATTTTATTCCTTATCGGAAACCGTTGTCGAGTTACGTTGGTATGGGTGGGGTATAATACACCTCTTCAGTACCTTTGGCGTAATGTTTTCCCATTTCAGACCTCGTGTCATTCCCTAGAGTATAATTTCTTTGTTTACGGCTGTACATAGAAAGACACATGAACCTTATACTCAAGAGAATGACACGTATTCTGAAATGGGAAATATTAGGCTCAAGCTAAATTCTGGCAGGGTTTCTGACTCGAATTCTTTTGCTTACTCTATTATCCAGGCTCAGATCAGATAGTTACTCCAAAGCTCTTCCTAGAGAAGCTTGGCACTCTTGGAAACTCTTGAGAATTTGACACTTAACAGGTTTGTTACCATAGCAACTCATGAGTTGATTTTTTTACTCTCTTCATAGTAAAGAAACGTCGGATTAAAGCGGGGAATTTCGTTATTTTTTTCAGGAATCCGTTTATTAAATGAATATTGTTAATCACAATTAACCAGATAGTATTCTCGTTAATCAAATCAAGCAGCTTTTGATACCGTGCTTTGCCTCTTGTGGGTTTCCTATGGTACAGACAAGGAAAGGGAATGAGGAGAAGTGCCCCACAATTTATCTAGCAGGCAGCAGATTATGTTTCTGCTGTAACTAAAGAAACCATATAAAATAACAATGCTATAATTATAAATTTTAAAATTAAACCTAAGGAAATCTTACTAATTGAAGGTGTAAATTTTTTAAAAAATAATTGAATGTTGCTTTTGCCTTTGAAATGCTCCCGTGAAGGATCATGGTTAATATTCAAACTGATAACGAGTAGATTAAGATCAAAGTATACACGACGTTAACAAATGTACATATATCACTAGATTTTTGTAACAAAACACTGAATTTAAATAAAAATTATCAAATCAACACCCTGACAAAATACCAGTGGGAAGTGACCATTTTTTGAGTTCTCGGATTCCCATACAAATTCACTGACTTTAAAGAAAAAATTTAGGTAGATTTCTTCAGTTAGCTCTCTTAACAGCAATACGAAAAGATTCAATCAAGCTAGAAAAATGATCATTTACTTGTATTTAGAGAACTGACTAAACAAACCAAGTAAATAGTTCATTCAAAGTCAGTACATTTGTACGGAAATCCGAGAACGATGTCCGAACTTCTTGGTGACCGTAACACAATCCAACACAATTTATACCACGTGATGGCTAGTCAAAAAAAGTCAAATAAATTCTAAACTAAACTAAACTAAATATTATATTTCATAAAATAAATATCACACAAATTAATGAAAACTATTGTTTTATTTTTCTTATGGAATAAAACGAAATGTGTGAATCAACTAAAATGGTTTTCGACCAAATCGGAGCGCGTTAAAACTCTGTTACTTTGTTTATTGTAATATTTTTTATAATTTGAGGGTACGAATGCGATATAACCCAAGATTGGTTTGGAAACCACCCTCTACTACAGTTAATGTAAAACTCGATCAAAAACACCTCAATCTTGGAGTACCTTAGAGTTATTCTGATATCAAAAATTCCGATTGACTTTTGCGCAAGTAGACAACTTTTACAACGTTTTTTCTGTTAATGACAAAATAGTCCAGAGTAACCGCTGGCATAGAGTAACCGTGGGCTCACATCCTAGAGCCATATACCGCTGAGCTTTAACGAGTCACCGTGGGCTCACACCTAGATTTATAATATTTTCCCCCTAATGACATATGTGAATAGTGTAGTAGTATGGTTGCAGTATTTTTGTATGTCAAATTTTCTTTTAGGAGATATAAACATTTGAAATATCAATATGCAAATGAGATGACGTAAATTCAAGGCTAATTTATTACACAAAAATGCTTTTGTTGAAAGTACTGTTTTAGAAATTACAAATTATCCTAATGACTAAAATATATGGCTTTCTACACTTTTAGGTTATTTCACTTCAGAACATTTGTCATAAATTACACTTCAAAATGTAACCCATTCTTGAATTTACGTCAACTCATTTGCATATCGATATTTCAAATGCTTGTATCTCTGAAAAGAGAGGTCCACATACAAAAATACTGCAACCACACTACTACACTGTTCACATATAAGTGATTTTGAAAATAATTTTTTCCCCTTGATATACAATTTAAGTAGTCTTCAATATTCAATGCACAGCGATATCTCACATCCCCTGGATGACATGTACACACTGGTACTTGACCTCTATATACTTGAAAGTACCAACACATGGATCTCCGTACACTTGATTCTTTGCGTAGAGCGGGCACGAGTTGTGACCGTTACATGCACAGCGCACGAGATTCGCCGCAACAGACGAGTAGCATTTGGTTGTACGTATCTGAGAATGAGAGCAGACGTGACGTCCTTCGGTTCGACCGTAGTTAGCGTAGCGTATTTTGATTTTTTGACCGGGGGGACATCGGAGTACACCACTTCGGTGTTCACAGAGGCGGAATGTTCCTAGAATAAGATTAAAGAATCAGCTTAATTGAAAGAAGACGCTAGTCGCTATAGATAATCTTATAGCACTATGAATGGTTCCGGTTGCAGTAAGAGATTTAGCTATGCCGAGGCTGAGAAAAACTGGGTCGAGTTGGTATTGCATGTGGATTGTGGGATAGTTTTAGGAAATAGAAGCCATCTTGGAAATATGTCCATTAAAACACTTCCTTTAACAGGAGGATGTTTAGTATGTGTGGTTTACCGGGTTTACGTAGCGGGGAATGAACTGTATTCATTTTTTTCGGTCCGGTATCCTAAAAAATCGTGCGCTCTGATTGGCTGTTTGAGCGGGCGGTATTTTGTCAGTATCTGCCCGCGCTCGCTGTCCGGTATCCTTTGCCGCTAAACAACAAAACAAAACGATTACAAAAACAAGTAAAAAAAATAAGGGAAAAAAATTAATAAGTTATTTACCGTCCTATAGTCGGTCCGGATAGGGAAAAACTGTGCTCGAATATTCCGTTTTCAAGACCGAGGGCACAGTTTTTCCCTATCCGGACCTCCTGGCCAGTAAATAACATATATGTGTTTTTGATGCTTACTTATTGGCATCGGTGGCATTGTTGGTGGTGTTGGTGGCGGTGGTCTTGTAGTCAGTTGAGTCGTCATTGGTTTGCTTGTCGTAGGAAGAGCTTTCGTAAAGAAAGATGAATTCAAAGTAAGGATAGTTCTCGGTAATAGAGGGTTTGCACCATCACGTGATGGCAGCCATGACAGGAGGCAGGAACAATAGTTTTATAAATCTAAAATAATAATAATAATAATAATAATAATAATAATAATAATAATAGTCTCCTACCCACCTGGGTTGCTACCACAGTATCTCAGTCTACACATGGGAGGCTTGGGTAACTTGTAGACAAAGAATCCACCGCAGTTCCTCACCAAAACACTGGTGTGAAAATGACAGCAGTCCTCCTTCCAATTAAAACAAACCTTACGCTTCACAATCCCCTTAACCACACTTGGCAGAGCACCGCTCATCCAGCCAGGAGCATGGGTACCACATTGAAGAACTTCGGGGCATTTTGTAGACATTTGAGTACCAGCCTGACCAGTGAAGCGATACCATCCCGGCGTAAGTGTCTTGTCACACTTAAATATTTCGTTCGGACCGTGGTTTTCTGATCTGTCAGCCGAATCCAGTTGTTCGTAGTTTGTGCACTCATCTGCATAGTAGGTACACTATATTAGACTATGTATTCGTACGTGATGTCATGTGTGCCCTATCCAAGCCCCCGCAACCAGCTATAGAGCTTGGCTACACAGCCTAAATTCTTTAACTCCGTCAATAAGGAAAGAAAGGCATATCCTAAAGCAGTAACATGTCGATGCCTTCTCGATATTTCATAAGATAATATATTTTTATATTTATCCGATGTAGTAATCATTTACAAATCACTACCCACCGCCTTCGGGTTTAGTAGTTGCTACTTCGGTCGTCGTAGGTTCCATCGTAGGTTCGATCGTCGTAGGTTCCATCGTCGTAGGTTCCATCGTCGTAGGTTCCATCGTCGTAGGTCTAGCAGTCGTTTCTTTACTTGTAGTAGTTTCAGCTGTTTTCGGTGGCTCTGCAGTAGGCAGTGCTAAAAAATAACAAGGAAAAACATACAATTCGGTTTTTTAAACTTATTCTGAGCATTTCTGTGAAAACAGCTTTCGTAAAACAACACTGCAAATCTATGAAGCCAGAAGCCACAAAAAACGGCTGAATCGTAATGCTACAGAAAAAATTTCAAATCGCGACACTTATTTTAGACACTAGTGTATTTTCTATTAGCCATCTCGAGGTTGAGGAAAAGACTGGGTCGGGTTTTTGGATTTGGCGGGAATTTTCGCGGCGCGCGCGCGTTTTTATAAACATACCTTCGTCGCTTCCACAGTATTTCAGTCGACAAACGGGTGGCTTCTGTAGTCTGTAGACGTAGTACCCTCCACAGTTCCTCACCAACACTTTTGAATCCCAATAACAACAGTCATTCCTCCAATTGAAACAAACTTTGCGGTTTACAGTTCCCTCGGCCACGCTTGGCAGAGTA